CTGGTTAGCAGTCAAGTGCCTTAGCCACTATGCTACCAGAGCACACTAGGATACTACAAAGTCTATTCAATGAGATTAATGTCCTTAAGGAGCTCTGGTGGCACAGTGGGTTAGGCATTTGACTGCTAACCAGAAGACTGGTGGTTCAAACCCACCAGCCACTCTGGAGAAGGAAGATGGGGCAATCTACTTCTGTAATGATTTACAGCCTCGGAAACCCAAAAGGGGTCACTATGAGTCGATATCGACTTGATGGCAGTAGGTTTGCTTTGGTTTGTATGTCCTTTGAATAGCCTATCTCAAGGCAAGTAATAATTTATACCAGTAGCATAATAAAGAATGCTGCTGTCATTTTAGTATCTTCTGTACTTCCACTGAAAGGAGCTCTGGTGGTGCGGTGCCTAAGACATCTGACTGTTAACCAGAAGGCTGGCAGTTGAAACCCACCAGCCACTCTGCGGAAGGAAGACAGAGCGATTTATTTCTATAAATATTTACTGCCTCAGAAACCCAACAGGGGTCGCTACGAGTCAGACTTGACTTGATGGCAGTGGGTCTGGGGTTTTTTTTGGTACCTCCACTGAAGAGAGAAGAATGCTAAAGAGGCTGGCAAGGTGAATTTGGAGAAGAAATTTATGTCAGACCAACAGTATTTTTTTTTTTTTTAATTGTGACTTGGGTGATAATTTACACAGCAAATTCATTTTCCATATAACAGTTTATACACATTTTATTTCATGACATTGACTGCAATCCCCATAAGGTAACAGCTCTCTTCCTACTTCCTCCCTGTGGTTACCTTTTCCCTATGTCTTTCTTTCCTGTGCATCCCTGTCCTCTGAGCTGTCTCCTTGTGCAAATACTGCCCTTCTGATCTCTCATGACTGATTATCCTAAGCAGTGTACCTACCTGCTATAAATGTTCACATTATATGCATATCTCTTGTTTGGCTGCAAGCCATGGTAGTAAGTTCAATTTCATGCTCCAAGGGTGACTAGGGGCCATAGTATTGAGGGTTTCACCAGTCTCTATCAGACTAGTAAGCCTGGTCTTTTTTATGATTTTGAGTTTTGTTCCACATTTTTCTCCTACAACAACACTATTTCTTGGAAAAAAAAAAGTTTTAAGATTTACCCATTGATGACGCCATTTGAATAGCCCAGGTGCTCAGCAAAGGATTCCTACAAGGGAGAGGAGGAAAAAAAATTATAAAAATATGAACTCAATGAAGGCTTTCCTTTTTTGGGGTGAGTTCATCCTATTACAGTTAAAGAATACAAAATAGTAAACAAATAAGCAAATCCTTGTTACAGAATGAACTGGAAACTCATTGTCTTTGAATTCAGACTCTGTTCCGTGAGAAATGGACCCTGTGAATTTTGGCAAGTCACTATACTCTTAGCCTTGGATAACCAGGCCAGTACACTCATCACAGAGAGGAAGACCTAGGGCTCTGGGCTGAGCAAGGTAAGGATCCAGGAGCAGCCAAGTACCCATCCTCCTAGAGTTTAGAGTGTAGACTAGACAAGGAGTTTCATACAAGCAAAACTAGATCTGAATTAATTTGTAGAAGTAACTACACTGCAGGAATGTGTAACAGTGGAAGTAATGGTGATTATGGTTGTTGTCTGCCTACGTTGAGTTGGACCCTGACTCATGGCAACTCCATACACACAACAGGATAGGACTGTTGTGATCCTTAGGGTTCTCACTGGCTGATTTTGGGATGTAAATTGCCAGGCCTTTCTTCCTACTCTGTCGTAGTTTGGAAGCTCTGTTGAAACTTGTCCAGCAACACAGAAGCACACAAGCCTCCACTGACCCATGGGTGGTGGCTGTGCATCAGCTAGGAATGGAACTCGGATCTCCTACATGTTGTTGTTGTTGTTGTTGTTATGTGCCGTCGAGTTGTGTAAAGCGAGAATTCTACCACAGAACCAGCACTGCCCCCAGTGGTGATCAGTATTTTATAATCCTTAGCTTAGTGAACGACTCGACAGCACATAACAACAAACAACAACAGCTTAGTGAAGAAGCTCTGGTGGCATAGTGCCTAAGGCATTTGACTGCTAACCAGAAGGCTGGTGGTTCAAACCCACCAGCCACTCCTCGGAAGGCAAACTGGGCAATCTACTTCTGTAGTGATACTGCCTTGGAAACCCAAGGAGGGGTATGAGTTAAACTGACTTGACAGCAGTGAGTTTGGTTTTGGTTTTTTAGCTTAATGAAAACCTAATATCTATTCTCTATTACAACTAAGGCACTAAATGTGCACCACCATTCAGGGGTCTGGTTTACACTTTAAAAATCTAGATCTTAATCACAGAATTCCCTTTTCCTGGTTTAGAGGAAGAAGTAGATGAATTCCATCCACGTGGTTTCCTGTTCTGACTGTAGCGAATCAGAGACCATTCGAGGGCCAGGAGAGTGTTTCACACCTTTATATTGGCCACCACCTTTTTCTCCTTCCCCTTCTTCCCTGCCCTCTCCCCCACCCCGGCCCCAACCCCTGTATCCTTTTCTCCAAGAGCTCAGATCTTTGACTTTGGCTCTACTCTCAGAGAAAACCAGTTTCTGTTGAGTCCAATGCAGTTCATGGCAATGCCATGTGTCAGAGTAGAACTGAACTTCATAGCGTTTTCAATGGCTAAGGTTTTGGAAGGACATCACCAGGCCTTTCTTCTGAGGGGCCTCTGGGTGGACTTAAATGGCCAACCTTTCAGTCAGCAGCTGAGTGCATTAAGCATGTGTACCATCCAGGGATTCCTTGCTGTTATCAACTATTGTCATTTTACTTAGGTCTCAAATGTTTTTGTCTATAGATCCTTTCCCTTATGGACCTGGAGGCAACAGCAGTGCCAAGAAATCTGCTAATTCCCTAACAGCATTGAGACAGGACTCTGGTAAAGGGAGAGGGTGTTAATGCATACTGTCACAAAACAACCAATGGTAAGGGTGAAAAAAAAATCTTCCAAGTAAGGAAAATTCCAACTAATTTTTTCACACTGTAATTAAGTTTTTGTTTTCCAGAAGGTTCTATTAAAAATAAATACACTAGTGCAGACAAGGGAGACCAGCAGTGAACTTCCCTCCGTCACCTGCTCATTTTGCAGGGAAAGCAGGCCTACCTCTGACTAACAGCTGCCCTCAGGGCAGCACACATCAGCAGCGCTCTGAAAAATGGAGACCACAGTCATGGGTCCTTTTCTGTCCTGCTCAAGTCAATTGCTCCCACAGTGGCAAAAGACTGTCAACTTAGGAAACACTCACATGGAGTGAACAGTCCAGAAAATGTCCTAAAAACAGCTTTCTTGAGACTGGAGCATTGGGATAAAGGTGTGGATTTACATCGTCACAACAGAAATGAAAAGGAAGGAATCTCCATCCAGGTAACAGACTCAAGCCGGTATCTTCTCCCAAGAAAATACTTAAAGAATATCTTTCTTTCCAATAGTCATAAATACATTATTTCAGCATTTTTCACAACATCTTTCTGAGGAAGCTGGGAGTGTTTGTCATTCTCTTCCATTTTGGAGCTCCCACCATAACAAGGATACTTACTCCCGTGCACATAACAAGCCACCACTTCTAACACGTTCTCGTAACTCTGTGCTCTTATAAAATCCCAGATGCTCGAGAGCTTTTGGTGCCAATGCAGATCCACGTGCAGGACATTCACATCTGTTGATTCTGCCAGTTGAGCCACTGGAGCACACCACCTCAACTCCACACCTAGCGTGTAACCCTGTTTTCCAGCCTGCTTTGTTTTTTTAACTGGCATTCATAGGGTTAGTACAGGCAGGTTCAAAACACAGGACACAGACTCACCTCGATGTGCTGAAACATGTACGGGTGGTTGCAGATTTTTCTCAACTGCATGATCGTATTCATGAGTGTCTTAGCACCTCCCTTTCCCTGAGAATGAGTGGGGAAGATAAGAAAATAGAGCAAGTTATTCATTGGCCAGATTATTCTCCAAGTATTCAAAGCTGGCTTCTTCTACAGGGTGGGCAATAGGTCCACAGGTCTTTTCAGTAACCTATACAATCTGTGGGCCAGAGCTCCTGTGATCAAGAGCAGTTTTTCAAGGGAGATGCAGTATCTTTCTTATGATGAATGTATCCTACAGAAAAATCAAACCTTATAGGAGGATGGGAGAATGTCAAATGGATGCTTTGTGGCATGTCTATGCCCTAGGATGGAAAGACAGATGCCCAGGGAGTGGGAATGGGTTCCAAGCCTTCTTGGTGCCACCCCACACTTAGCCAGGAAATATCTGATGCAGAGTTGACAGGAACAGAGCTAACCATTTTGGTGATGTGAAAATATGACCTCCCTCCCCACATGTAGTTTGTAATTAAGAGGTTCAAAGATGTCAAAGAGGCCCAGTGACTGACTTCAGCTGATCAGTGTTAGGAAAGATGCCTCCTGCTGGGAACAGTCTATGCTGCAGCCATGAGAAGGTCCAGCACCTTGAGCTCTATCATCCCTCCAGAACATACCTTCTTATCTTTCTCAGAACCATCTGTGAGGAGGATCCCCTTGGCTTGCATGTGGCGATACAGAATCTTCTGCAGAGCTGACATGTCACACTTGATCACATATTCAACCTGGAAAGAGAACAGTAGGCAGGTAAGGGCAGGAAGGAGGAGATACCTGCTGTAAGAAGACTGCTGAGCATAACTGCTGGCTCTCCTGCTTGAAGAAAACAAGTGCCACTCCTGGAATCACCAGGAACTCTCCTTTTCCCCTTCTTGGATTCATGGAGTGGTGGGAGTTGGAAAAGACTATGGTCATCATTATTAAAGGTATCCTACCACCTGTGACTCAATGGCAAACAACAACGAACAACAAACAACAACCACCTATATGTCAGTGGGTTGCACTATGGTGGCTTGTGGGTTGCTGTGATGCTGGAAGGTACACCACCTGGTACTTCAAATAGCAGCAAAGTCACTCCTGCTGGGCAGGTTTCAAACTAAGACAGACAAGGAAGAAAAGCCTGGCAATCACATCTTCTGAAAATTAGTCAATGAACAGCTTATGGATCACAACAGCGCACCATCCAACTAATTTGCTTTGGACACATCACCAGAAGGGATCAATTACTGGAGGAGGACATCATGTTTGGTAAAGTAGACAGCCAGTGAGGGTGAGGGAGACCCTTAGTGAGCAAGATCCTTGGTGAGCTGCACCGCAAACAGTCACAACGATGGACTCAAACATGGTGGTAATCATGAGGATGACACAAGACTGGGCAACGTTTCATTCTGTTGTACACAGGGTCACTATGAGTCCAAACTGGTTCAATGGCACCCAACAACAACAACATCCACAATAACTAGTCCTAAAATGAGATTTATAACAACTCGAGACAAGGAAGCGAGCTAGCAGCTGTTTGGAACAGCTAAGGGAGACAAGATAGCAAGCTGGTGACAGCTTGAAGCAGATAAGGGAGACCACGAAGCTAGCTGCCAGTGGTCTGGAAGAGCTAAGGGAGACTAGGATGTGAGCTAGCAGCAGTTTGGAACAGCTAAGAGAGACCAGGAAGCAAGCAGAGTGGTTTGGAACAACTAAGAGACAAACTTGTCTGTCAGTTTGTCATACTGTGGTGGCTTGTATGTTGCTGTGAGGCTGGAGGCTATGCCACTGGTGTTTCCAATGCCAGCAAGGTTACCCTTGGTGGACAGGTTTCAGAGGAACTTCCAGAGTAAGATAGACTCAGAAGAAGGAAGAGGCCATCCACCTCTCAAAGAACTGGCCAGTGAAAACCTTATGAATAGCAGTAAAATACTGTCTGATACATCACTGGAAAACTTTATGAATAGCCTTGAAACTATCCTATATAGTGCTGGAAGATGAGACCCTCAGGTTGAAGGGCACTCAAGATATGACTGGTGAAAAGCTGCCTCAAGAGTAGAGCCGACCTTAAAAATGGGGACAGAGTAAAGCTTTTGGGACCTCCACTGGCTGATGTAGCATGACTCAAAATGAGAAGAAACAGCTGCAAGCATCCATCAATAATGTGAACATGGAATGTACGAAGTATGAATTTAGGAAAATTGGAAGTCGTCAAAAATGAAATGGAACACATAAAGATCAATATCCTAGGCATTAGTGAGCTGAAATGGACTGTTTTTGGCCATTCTGAATCAGACAACCATACGATTTACAATGCAGGGAATGATAAATTGAAGAGGAATGGCGCAGCATTCATCATCACAAAGACTGTTTTGAGTTCTGTCCTGAAGTACAATGCTGTCAGTGATAGGATAATATCCATACACCTACAAGGAAGACCAGTTACTACTACTATTATTCAAATTTATACACCAACCACCAATGCCAAAGATGAGGAAATTGAAGATTTTGACAAACTTGTGCAGTCTGAAATTACCTGAACATGCAATCAAGATGTGTTGATTATCACTGGTGATTGGAATGCAAAAGTTGGAAATAAAGAAGAATCACTAGTAGTTGGAAAATATGGCCTTAGTGATAGAAATAACACTGGAGAGTACCTGCTAGAATTTTGCAAGACCAACGACTTATTCATTATAAATACCTTTTTTCAACAACATAAACGGTGGCTATATACATGGACTTTGCCAGATGGCATACACAGGAATCAGACTGACTACATCTGTGGCAACAGTGATAGAAATAACAGTGGAGAGCACATGATAGAATTTTGCAAGACCAACGACTTATTCATTGCAAATAACCTTTTTTTTCAGTAACACAAACAGCGGCTATACACATGGACTTTGCCAGTGGCATACACAGGAGTCAGACTGACTACATCTGTGGCAATAGGCAATGGAGAAGCTCATTATCTATCTTCAGCCAAAACAAGGGCAGGAGCTCACTGTGGAACAGACCATCAGCTTCTCATATGCAAGTTCAAGTTGAAGTTGAAGACAGTTAAAACAAGTCCATGAGAGCCAAAATATGATGTTAATAATATCCCTCCTGAATTTAGAGACCATCTAAAGAACAGATTTGACACACTGAACACCAATGACTAAAAACCAGAGTAATTGTGGGATGACATCAAGAACATCATCCATGAAGAAAGCAAAAGGTCATTAAAAAGACAGGAAAGGAAGGAAAGACCAAAATGGATGTCAAAAGAGACTCTGAAACTTGCCTTTGAATGGAGAGTAGTTAAAGCAAATGGAAGAAATGACAAGATAAAAGAGCTGAATAGAAGATTTCAAATAGCAGCTTGAGAAGACAGAGTCAATAATTATAATGAAATGTGCAAAGACCTGGAGTTAGAAAGCCAAAATGGAAGAACACACCTGACATTTCTGAAGCTGAAAGAATTGAGGAAAAAAATTGAAGCTTTGAATTGCAATATTGAAAATTCTATGGGCAAAATATTGAATGAAGCAGGAAGCATCAAAACAAGACAGAAGGAATACACAGTCACCATACCAAAAAGAATTGGCTCATGTTCATCCATTTCAGGAGGTGGCATATGATCAAGAACCAATGATACTAAAGGAAGAAGTTGAAGGTATACTGAAGGAATTGGTGAGAAACAAAAACCAAACTACACCAAACTCACTGCCGTCGAGTCGATTCCAACTCATAGAGACCCCCTTTGGGTTTCCAAGATGGTAAATCTTTATGGAAGTAGATTGCCCAGTCTTTTCACTGGCAAAAAACAAGACTCCAGGATTGACAGAATACCAAGTGAGATGTTTCAACAAACAGATGTTGTGCTGGAGGCACTCATTTGGCTATGCAAAGAGATCTGGAAGACAGCTATCTGGCCAGCTGACTGGAAGAGATCCATGTTTGTACCCATTCCAAAGAAAAGTGATCCCACAGAATGTGGAAATTATCGAATAGTATCATTAATATCACATGCAAGTAAAATATCACTGAAGATAATTTTAAAATGCGTGCAGCAGTATGTTGACAGAGAACTTCCAGAAATGCAAGCTGGATTCAGAACAAGATATGGAATGAGGGATATCACTGCTGATATAAGATGGATCTTGGCTGAAAGCAAAGAATACCAGAAAGATGTTTATTTGTGTTTTATTGACTGTGCAAAAGCATTCGATTGTGTGGCTCTAACAAATTATGGATAACATTGAGAAGAACACTTAATTGTGCTTGTGGGGAACCTGTACATAGACCAGGAGGCTGTTGTTCGAACAGAACAAGGGGATACTGCATGGTTTAAAATCAGGAAGGGAGTGTGTCAGGGTTGTATCCTTTCACCATACTTATTCAATCCGAATACTGAGCAAATAATCCGAGAAGTTTGACTATACGAAGAAGAATGTGGCATCAACATTGGAGGAAGGCTCATAACAACCTGAGATACTCATGTGATGCAACATTGCTTGCTGAA